TCTATCTCACCTTCTTCTCTTTCTGCCCCATCTCCTTCGTCTCTCATTCTCCTCCCCTCCGTGTCCTCCTCTCCAGCATCATTGCAACTGGAGTGATTCACCTCTCCTTTGTACTCTCAGTCATCACTCTTTCACCAGTTTCCCACTGCTCAGCTTAGGCCCCCAGGCAGTAACGCTATGATGGAACATGCCTCCGATATCTTTTATTATCTGCTTGTGCTTTGCTTTTAGAGGTACCCAATTATCTTAATTCTAAATTGAATTTGGTTCCAGCTCTGTGATTGTTGTTGACTCTCATAATCCATTTTTATGAAAAGGGCTTTGCTCCAATGACTACTAAACTAATGCTGATACAAAGTCATTTGCTTGGCAGCAATTATGCTTGGAGTTGTTAGTTGTATTAATTTTTCTACGAAGGGAGTGGGTTATTTACTAAGCTCAGAATTGAGGCAAGCGTGTTAATTTGTTGCAAGCGCATGGCTGTAAGCTCACTTGTACATGCAGTGTGTTTGTCAGTGTCCACCAGTGTCCAGAATAATGTTTCAATTACCTACTACACGATAATAATCTCAATAAGGACAATATTTAAATGTTGGCTCTGTAAATGTATTTACAGAGATTTTTCTTTTAGTGAATCAATTTGAACAATTGCAGAAAGTCAGAAATTGTTGATTTTTCTTTTTTTGGCCTGTCAAAAATATCAAAAAAACAAACTTATTTTCTCTTGAACATTTCACAGTCAGTGTGACCCTTTTTCTTTCTGCTTGATTGCTGGATCGTGGTCACATTAGTTTGTGTTTCTTCCGCTTGTTACCCATTGCTCCTAATATAGTCCTCAAACCACTCTGTGCTTTTAAAGTGTTACTTGTATGAGTACATGGAGGGGTTTATTTCTAAAGCACATCAGTAAAAATGTAATTCAGACATGCTGTGTCATATAGCCGTTGTTGAAGTGCCACTTCCTGCTGCGTGGTAATCAAACTGGCGCTGTTGTATCGCTAACTCTAATAACAGTTCATATCCTTTCATCCACTGGAAGCTGCAAATCTGTTTGGGCCTTTCAGAGTTTAAGACTAATGGGTCATCATTCTTTGGTGCGTTACAAAAATACATATTCCTAAAAGATCAGTCTTTTACATGGTGACATTGTATCGTGTAATAGGAGGTTTTGATGATTGATCAGTAAAAAAAATCAAATAATTCTGATATCTGACAGACTGGTGCGGACATTATAGGTCTCCTGTGATAAAGAGAGAGCTGAGTTTAAGAGTGAAGCTGTAGCTTTACCACTCAATCTATGTTCCCACCTAAGGCCACAACCCCTGGGTAATGACCAAAAGAAGGAGTTTGGGGATGTAAGCAAGCAAAAACGGCTTACTTTGGGTGACGATATGAGCTCAGACATCATTAGAGACTCAAAAGAGAGCTGGTGCTACTGAAAGGAGCCAGTTGAGGTAACATCTGGCTAGGATGCCTCCTTGGCAGTCTAAGCTGCTGCCCCTGCAACCTGTACCCAGACAAGCGGCAGAAAATGGATTGATGGATGGATGATTTTAGAAAACTGTTTCTTAAAAATTTTTCATTTTTAAAATATATAATTACTATAATAATTGATGACAGTAAGATTATGTATTTGTGCAGTTACTTATCACAGGTGGTAACAAGCTTCTTCCTTGTTTTGTTTTACAGGATGGCTACTCCCAGTATCACTTTGTGGGCTCTGCCTCAACAATAGAAAGAGACCGGCAGAGGCCCTATTCTTCCTCAAGAACTCCCTCGGTCTCTCCTGTAAGGACATCTCCAAATAACCGCTCTGGTGAGAAACTCGTGGCACTCCCTATACAGATGCTATGCATACATGTTTTCATTCATTCTTGTGTATCTCTTAACAGCCAAGATTAAGACCTCATATCTAAAAAATGTTTCACTTGGTTGTGTGGTTAGTTAAATATCTCATGGCCAAACAGGCTATGGGTCTTGTGATGGTGCACATCATCAAACTGAAACAATCTTTGTTTTCTGAAACAAAAAAATACTGAAATACAGTTTGTTTTGTTTCCTTTTGTCTTTCTTTTATCACAGGCAGTCAGATAAATAATTGGGGGAACAATATTCAAGCCAAGGTTATAGCAAATAATATTATATTAATAATTTTATTTTCTTTTTTTCTTTAAGCCTGCCAGCTGCACTTGAATTTTTAAGAAAGCAGTCAGCATCTTTTCCAGTTGGTCTAAATTGTCTTTAAAGACTTGGTATGATTATCAAAATAAGGCAGGATTTTGTTTGTAAAAACAAGCATATATTAAAATTCAAGGCTTTACTGAATTTTACTCTTTTGACAAGTGGTTACAGAAAATCAGTTGAATAAAGGGTTACATCTGTGTACACGGGACATATGTATAACCACAAGGTACAGTACACAGAGAATCTAATTTAGACATTAGCCATCTACATTAACATTTGCCAGTCGATCAGTCATTATACCACCGCCAAATAGCTCATAGCATTACAGGCTTATGCTACAAAATATGATTATCATTAGCCCTTAGCTTGAGCCCACTGGCCTTCATGCTTTGCAAAGGGCACATTAGCATTAGCTGTTAGCATTGGTGGTTCAAGAGCCTTTAGCTGTTCTTTCACCACACTGGGCTTAGCAAGCTGATGAGGCAGAAAAGTACTTTTCCTTCCTCCTGGCTTAGAGAGGTCTTCAAGGACCCTGCTAAGAGAGGAAGACAGTGGGAGTGAGAGAGAAAAATAAAATGTGTGTTTTTGTGTGTGAGGAGGAAAAGAAGGAGGGATGAGATAAACACGGAGGGAGATACAGAGAGAAAAAGCAAGAAGGCAAGAAGAATTAGGGATTGGGGGATGGTTAATGCAGGGAGGAGGAAGTGAAGAAGGCTGGGGATTTGACTTTAGCCAGCGACATTGAAAATAAGAAGTTTTGAGATTATAGTGCATAGAGAAATTTGTGGATGTCTGTTGTACAGTGGATCAGCAGGGGTAAATTGAGCCATGACTCCCATCTTTCTCTTCTGCTCCTCCTCTGTCTACACACAATGCCTCCCCCTTTGCCTTTGAGCTTGTCCACCCCTTCTCATTCACCCGTTTCACTCTCCTCCTCCTCCTCCTCTTTGCAGTAATCCTGCTTTCTTCTCACCTCTCCCTCTGATCTCTCACTCTTTACAGGCCACCTCAGTGTGCTCTCAAACACACAGACACACACTAACACACACCCACATGCTCCTATATCTCTCCTCTGCATACACTCCAGACTGCAGTCCGACTCCTTAGAGATGGATCAAAGCAGAAGGAGTAATGATGGTATGCAAGTACGCTGGGAGAAGAGGAGTGAAAGAGTTGATGTGAGAAGAGAGTAGTACGACTGTGAAAGAGAAGGGGCGGTTAGAGGCTGCAAGAGAAGGAGAGAGAGACCTTTGCATGTGTCATGGCCCCCACAGGGTCCTGCTGTGTTCTGCACTGATAGAATTTGTCTCCCGGGCTGTCATATCGAGCATTTACAAGCCAGGTCCCCTAGGTAACCAGTAGCGATGGCACTGTCTCTGGAGGTTTCTGTAAAAGGTTTGAGCTGCTACCTTAATGGAATCTGCTACAGAGGTATTGGATGATAAAATTAAAAATGAAATGTGTTAAAACATTATAAAAGCGTGGCTCAGCACAGCCAAAGTAATTATGTTTATGTGCCTTCCTCACAGCCGTTTCTGTGCTTGCGCGTGTACGTGTGTAATACAATGTCTTGTCAAAATGCAGAAAAGGCTGGGGAACAGATAAGAGGGTACAATGCGCCTTTGCTTTTTATGTCAAACATTGAACAGCCGAGATGAAAAAAGGGGCATCCTTTAGTATTCAAATAGATGAATTTAAATTCAATGGCTCTCCAAAAATCACTTTAAAAGCCTTTATTTCATTTGCTAGTCATATTCATAAGTGTTTTCATCCCTAGTTTGCTCTTCTCTAACCTTTAATCATGGTATAGAACAACCAAAGAGAACAAAGACAATTATGCACTAATTTTTGGAGTAGGCTACATCTGCTTTTCTTTTTATTCAGAAGCATGAAAACTGTTTCTACTCGATGGCTCATTGGACTGAAAATGGTGACTTCCACATGTGTGTGTGTGTGTCTGTGTGTCCTGCATATTTGCATGTGTAACAGATATTAAATAAATGTCAAAACTAGTGTGAGCATGTCAAAAAAGCTTATTTTTAGAATGTACTCACATTTCCTGGAGGATACTGTATGTGTGTACAACCCAGTATCACAGCAAAGCGTGAAATGAACAGAGTGGAACGGCGTGTCTATTACACGCTTTGCCGTGATACTGGGTTGGTATGTAAACATTGAGTTAGTTATAAGAATCTTTATATAGGCAATCTGAAACAGGTGGGCAGGATTATGGCAGTCCAGTGTTATGATAGGAGGGGATGAGTAAGAACTTAAAGTATGCTATAAGGGGATTACCTTGCGATGGGCTAAAAGTTTGCATGTGTGTGTTTAAAAAAGAAAATTGGGACATTATCAGTATTTCTACAATATGAGAGCCGTGTTTGTCATCGCCTGCACACATGCATGCATCCATCCATCCATCCATTCGCTTCCGCTTATCCTTTTCAGGGTCGCGGGGGCGCTGGAGCCTATCCCAGCTGTCATAGGGCGAGAAGCGGGGTACACCCTGGACAGATCGCCAGTCTGTTGCAGGGCTAACACAGAGACAGACAACCATTCACGCTCACATTCACTCCCGCATTTACACCTATGGGCAATTTGGATTAATCAATTAACCTATCCCCACAAACTGCATGTCTTTGGACAGATATGTACACATGCATAATTGTCCAAATCCACACAGTCACAAACAGAAACATTGTGAGGTGTGGAGATCCTAAATAGGTTTGAAACTTGATAGTATCTGCAAAGAAAGCATAGCTCTACTATGAAGTTAGCAGTGCAGCAGAGTTGGAAAACAGACAAATAGGACTGCATATTGGCATGAGGCCACTCATAAATGTCTTTGTTGTCACGATAACCAATAAACTAGCAGCTAAACTCCTCCATTTAGTTTCAGTATTTTAACACTGCTGCAATTGAGTTCATTAATACTACTTAGTACACGAGCACAAAAAGGCAATAACAATTTAACTGTTGTTATGTTTAGCATGAAAAACTGTTAGAACAGTGTCCATTTAATCGGGTTAAATAACATCCCGTTTAAAATGCGATTGAAATGTTTAAAAGCATACAGGGAACACGGTGAGCGCTGTCAGTAAAGATGTACTTAATCTCATTAAAACTGCTGAAAACTGCACTGCTTTTTTTGTTTAACTATGATTTGGCAATCTTTGATCAGTCAGATTAAACACTGCTGTCTTTTAAATATAATGCTTTTAGCATGGCATGGACTTGTGCATGCATTCGATGATACTAGCACCTCCATTTATTTTGTTGTTATGTGCAAGATTTTGCAGCCAGTCATGGAGATTGTTTAAGTTGAGGCACCAAGAAAATTAAAGAAATACAAGACCTGTTTGTGCGACGGTGTAATGATCAGTGGTCACTTTTGTAATGCACTACAAGCAAAGTTGATCTGACTTATTGGCTTGTTAGATAGCTGGATATTTAACATGAACTTTAAACACATAAAGAAGAGAAGAAAAGACATAAAACTATTAAGTAAACTGTCCAAAGCGTCCATGTGTATGTTTGTGTGAGTCTGTGTGTGAGAATTCCCAGAAGTCGTCTAACATGCTGGAGGTGACCCTTTCTGCTGACAAGTTAAATGATGAATAATGACTGTGCACCTTGAAAAAGACCAAGACACACAGACACAGCAGTGTAAGCACGCAGAGTGTGAAGGCTCATGCTGTTCTGGGTTTATTGCTCATTATTTTATGTGTGCGCGTGTGTGTGTGTGTGTGTGTGTGTGTGTGTGTAGCGAGCGCCCCAGCCTCCCCCAGAGAGATGATGAGTCTGAAGGAACGCAAGATGGACTACGATTCCACGGCAACCAACGCCGGTTTCCATAGCAACAAAGGAGAGCACACATCCCGGAAAGACGGCATGGCAGGTGTGTGTATGTGTGTGTGATGGAGATGAATTAAATGATTCTATTTTATCCCCCTCTTTATCTTTCTTTCTCCTCTATATTCATTCCCTATTTCCTCTTTCACTTATCTGCCTTTTTTCAGCTTCACACCATTTCTCTTCTCACACACTTTGATTCTTCTCAATCCTCTCCCGTCTTCCTTTCCAGTTTCTTTCTTCCCGTGCCTTCTTGTTATCTCTTCACTCTATTAGCTTCCACGCTCCCTTTATGTCTCTTTATTTATTTTCTATTTTTTAATCTTCTCTATTTTTTCCATCTCTTTCTCTTATGATAAATTCTTTATGTGACAAGTAGCACACTAAGAAGCTTTTAAACTCTCATAAGTTATTGTCTGATATCTGATAGGTATTATTAGTAGCTATTTTTGTCGTTAATTGAAAAAGTGGTATAATTTTTATTTTTATTTTATCCATCAAGTTCAAATTTCCTGTGGGACATCTACACTGTTCCGAAACTCTTACCTGACCGCCAGCGATGATATCAAGCAAAACCAGGTGAGTTAATGCTGCTCTGTGAATCCACTTTTCTGTATGCATATGTAGCAATACACCACCACAGCGTTTTAGCAGTGCATGCATTTCAGGGTTTTTTTTAACAGAGATAGCAGCAGGATAGAAAACGCACAAATATATGCACACAAAAGGTGTCCCAGTGTGATAAGAGATGTGCTGGCAGAGTGTGCGATGGAGGCACACCCTCAGCTCAAGCAGTATCAAACGACTGCAACCTGAAACCACACCCGACTGGCAATTAAAGTCATTACCTCAGTTGATTGCACTAATTATTTGCTCTTGGTAAATGACTCTGCTGGTACCAAGGGAAGCGAAATAAAAGGCATCAGAGTCATTGACTTTGAAATTTTGGCCCGATTTCTTCATCACTTATAAGTTTCTAATTAAAGTATAAGTTCATTTGTACGGGTACGAACTTTTAACATTGGCAGTTAAACATGTAAACACGTTTTCTTCACGCGGCTGCACACGCGCGCGCTCACACACACAGACACACGCACACAACTGGCCTGTGCGAGTTATAGTGTTATAGTGTTAGAGATGCATTGCCGCCTACGACGCCTGCATGTAATAGAGAATTCACAGCATGAGCCCCTACCCCACTGATTCCTTTCTGAGCTCTTTACCCATACAGCCTGCCTTTCAAAACCCTTTGTCCCTTGTGTTCACGCTTACCTGTCACTCTCCCTTCCATCGCTCCCTCTTTATCTCTCTCCCCTTTTCTTCCACTCCCACTTTTCCTCCCGTTACCCACATGTCTTTGACTCTCCATTCTTTTCCTTGCTGCACCTCACCCCCCACCTACCACTCTTTCACTTCAACCACTCCCCGCCAGGGTCCACCCCAGCCCTGCGTTGTGCCCCCTCAGCCCCAGCTGGACAGTCCATCAGCAGCCGTGCTAAAAGACTACGACCCCTACCCTCCCCCTCCCTCCTTCCCCCAGCCTCAGCCACCGCAGCCTCCACCTCACAGCCAGAGCCGGAGCTTTGACGAGGCCTACTACGAGGACCAAGGACCACCGCCACCTCCGCCACCCCAGCCACAGCCACCGGTCCAGGCTCAGGCCCAGCCTCAGGCCCCACCCCAGCAACCTCCAAACTCCACCGGACCACCCAGGGACCCGCGGGAAGATCTGCGCATGCATCTGGGCCTCAAATCAACCGGCAACTACGTAGACTTCTACTCGGCCTCTCGGCCATACAGCGAACTAAACTACGAGACCAGCCACTATCCGGCCTCACCTGACTCCTGGGTCTAGTTAGACTACAGTGTTGGGGGGCAAGAAAGAGTCTGTGTGTGCTTGTGTGAAAGGGATTATTTTTGCAAGACATCAGCAGTGATTATAAGTGGTATTTTGAAAGCGATCTTGTAGCCAGTGGCAGGAAATTTATGTTCTTTAAAATAAGTGGGATAGCAGAGCTGGATGGGGATAGGAAGTGAAGTCAGGTCGAGCGACAAAGAGAGACTGCATGTGCATGTGAACTTTTTTTTCCAGACCAGTTTATTTCTTTAAAGTCAGCTCCATTTCACCAGTGAGTGGAGCTAGTGGAAGTAGATATGACAAAGTGTGTTTGACAGTTTGAGCTAAGAGTAGGAAACAGAATATAAAAAGAGAGAAAATGACCAGACGGATAGAGTATGCAGATGTCAAGAGAGAAGAAGAGGGCGCTAGGATAAAGAAATAAGCAGAAGTTGAGGGAGCGTTATTACTCTGTAGGAGCAAAGAGCTGTCTGACCTAAGGAGGAGATGAGAGACAAAGATGGCATGAGGGTTCTTGAAGAGGTCAGGAAGAATAAAAGCACAGAGAAAGATGAAAGCACATCAGGCAACAAGCAAGAAGTGGATGTTTACCATTTCACCCAAGTGACAAACGTAGCACTGCTTTTATCCCCCTTTTTTGTTGCAATGGCCTTGCCGCCTCCAGAGGCTTCTGAATTTGTGTTCAAGGAATGTCATCTTCAAGAGACTTCTTTTTTTTGTCGTCATTCTTTTACATCTTTTTTATTTGTACTTTTCTAAATTTTCACTTTCAGCAAAACAAAAAGAAACTTTTTATTTTCTGTGTACAGTAAAAGGTGATATAGTGTGTATATTACACGTTTTTGATGGGCCACTTATACAAACATAATTTATTTTCCATGACTGACTGCTGACTGAAACATCAAAAGCAACAAAAAAATAAGCGAAATGTGAACACGAGAATCAGACCTGACAGACATCATCAGGATGGGTGTCAGCAGACACTTTTGTTTTGGCCCCCCTTTCCTTTCCCAGGAAGAGAGGAAGCACTGCGATATTTGTGTTTTTCTCTCTCCATCGAGTGAATTTTGTCATGGACACAGTAAAGAGCAGTTCAAAGCTGCCAAAGCATCAGTTTGGCAGAGCAGCATTGTTCCAGAGTCCCCGTCAACTAAAGTGCTTTTTCACTGCCTAAAGATTATATGTGTATGTTTAAAGCACACTCTCTGTCTTTGGAAAGGTTTGTCTTTTCACTTTGGGGAATCTGACATGTTTGACAATGTCAACTTTTAGTGGTTTGTCATCATCACCTCTGCATAAAAAAAACAAAACTGTTTCGAGTTTTTTTTTTTTTCACATCAGTGAAAGCCGCCAGTATTGTACATCTCAGTGTACAGTAGAGACAAAGGAAGACGAGAGAGAAAGGTCTTGTGCCAAACTTTGACACACAGTGGACCAGTCCAAGAGGACTTTAAAAGGAAATTTTTGTCGACGTTTACAGACGATGTAGACTGGCCGACTCACTCTGCTGTTTGTAACTTTTATTTTCTTGTGTTTTTGATCAGGTGAAGCTGTACTTATTGCTGGGAATCATGGGTAATGTCTCTCTCCCGTAGATGTACAGACCTGCCTCTCCGTGTTGGCTGAGCACATGTGGGTGTGTATGCGGATGTGTGTGTGGGCGGGGGGGGGTTGACGTGTGTGCGCACGCGTGTGTTTGTGTACATGTGCATGTATGTGACAGAATGTGTGGCCTGTGTGTACACGTAAACTTGAGCGAGCGTATCTATGCATGCATGTGTGTAGTAGTGTGCGTATGCCTCTGTTGCGTGTATGTGTGTGAGCGTTCCTGTACAAATCAATGTCCAAACAAGGCATTCCTACCGACAGTTTGTCCAGTTTTACAACATGAAAAACCAAGGAAAAAAATCACTAGAAGGAATTGTTGATATAGAATGACAAATCTATAAATATATGAATATGAATATAAATATATATATATAAATATATATATAATTTTTATGTGCTGATGTCAGTGTCACTAAATGCAACAAATGTTTGCAGAGAAAACAATTATGTGGTGTACAACAGGACTCTTGTTCACTTGACCTAAAAATGGAAACTGCTGATCGGGACCCCCCCCCACCCCAGTCGAGACAAAAAGAGAAATCCCACCTGAAGATGCTCAGGCTCTGGTGCGAGTTGTGTGTTGTGTGTCCATGCTTCTTAGATGACCCTGCTGAGAGAGGACCGTACTTGAACACAAGGAAAAAATAAAGACTCTTTGCAATCAAACAACACGGTCTCCGATCCTCTTGATGATTTTTTTTTCTTTTCACAGAAATGTGCATTAGATATTTTTTTTCCCACAAGGCAAAAGTGCTCATGTGGTGCATGTGTGGGTTAAGCTGACACACTTTGATGTGTTTTTGTTTAATTCACATTCTTGTGTGATTTTCTTCAGTCTGTATTTTGTTCAAAAGGGCTTCAGGTGCCTTTGAAGATATAATAGCAGAATGTAGGAATATCTTCCTTCCCGTGATCCTTCTGTGGTAGCTGAGGCAGCCTTTAAAATCTGCTCTCATAAAATAAATAAATATAAACAGCAAGTACTTAAATTCATTACATATTAAGTCAAGTGAGATGTACGGAAGAGGATTAGGGCCACTGGAAAAACAAAGTCAGAATTCTGAGATTAAAGTCAGAAATCTGACTTTTTTCTCAAAATTCTGACTTTTTCATCAAAAATGTTTTTTTCAGAATTCTGACTTTAATCTCAGAATTCTGACTTTAATCTCAGAATTCTGACTTTTTTTCTCAGAATTCTGACTTTAATCTCAGAATTCTGACTTTTTTCCTCAGAATTCTGACTTTTTTCTCAGAATTCAGGAAAAGAAGAAAAAAAAGACATGCCCACTTTTTTTCCCCAGTGGCCCTAATCCTCTTCCGTAGAGATGGGATGATTATTACAGAACAAATACCTTTTTGGAGATTTTAAATACTGTAAATATATAAATTGGCAAGGGTAAAATGTACAGTAACATTAATATCTGTTTATTATTAAAACTGTAATTATATGTATACATTTACCACTTTGGGCATTTTAAATGTCTATTTGGATTTGGCTATCCAATATTTGCTTTTAATAGCTCTAATGCACAAATAACATCAAAGCAAAACTTCTACTATTCAGTTTAACAAAGTTATTGTTCCTGTGTATTTGCAGTGTATTGTACTATAAGTGATAAACACTCACCAGGCTCTTCGTTAGGTACGTCTGTTCAAATGCTCTCTAACGCATATATCTAATCGGCCAATCACATGCCAGCAACTCAGTGCATTCAGGCATGTAGACACAGTCGAGATGACCTGCTGAAGTTAAAACTGCACATCAGAATGGAGTGGAAAGGCGATTAAAGCGACATTGAATATGGCCTGAATGCTGGTGCCAGACAGCCTAGTCTGAGTGTTTCCCAAACTGCTGGTCTGCTGGGATTTTCCTGCACAACCGTCTCTAGAGTTTCAGAGAATGGCTCCAAAAAAGAGAGAGAAAATATCAAGTGAGTGGCAGTTCTCTGGACAAAAGTGCTGATGCTGATGGAAGAGGTCCTACTGCTTCAAGCTGGTTGGAAGGGAACAGTGACAACAATAATCACTCATTACAACATGAGTACACAATGCACTGAACCTTGAGCCAGGTGGGTTGTAGCATTGAGAACAGGACACTAAAGGTACAAGTCACACAAACATTCCCTGGTCTGAGTCTGCTGTGGCATTTGGATGGTAGGTTCAGATTTTGGTGTAAGCAGCATGAAAGCATCCATCCTGCCTTGTATCAGCAGTCGAAGCTGCTGCTGGTGGTAAAGTCCTGGGAACACTTAGTACCAGCTGAGCATTGTTTACGCACCATAGCCTCTCTGAGTATTGCTGCTTACCGTGTCGATCCCATGATGACCACAGTGGATTCATTGTCTGGTTGCACTTCTAGCAGGACAACATGTCACAACGCTCAAATAATCTCAAACTAGTTTCTTGAGCATGATAATGAGTTCATTGTACTCAAATGGCCTCCACAGTCACCAGACCTCAATCCAACAGAGCACCTTTGAGATGTGGTTGAATGGGAGATTCACATCATCATGTCAACATGGACCAAAATCTGTGAGCAATGTTTCACAGCAGTGTTGAAACTCTGACAAGATTAATTAAGGCAGTTCTGAAGGCAAAAAGGAGAGATTTATTTCAGAGGAATAGGAATATATCAGTTTATTTCACCTTAAGACAAAGGGAAACACACCAGGTTGTGCTAAATTTGTTAGAGGAAATAAAAACTCATGAAAAGCAACAATAAGTACTGCAAGCCTCCCACGGCTTTACAATTTAATTAGATTTTTTTAATTAATATTTTCTTGCACTGAAATGGCCATTATTTCTCAGCGCAAACGGATTTGCTTCACTGTGGGATTCTCTTAGCCTGATAAATAGACCAACAACAGCCAAATATAAAGAAAATATATCAATAAACTGAAATTAGGCTTTATTGGTATTTAATGGTGTATTTTACTCTATGTGAGCTTCATAGCTCGAGTCACTATATTGCTTAATTCGTAATCTATTTACAAATGGTTTGTAGACAATATTTAAGTTTGATAGGGGTCTTAAAATGTAATTATGTTGCCAGTATAGCGCAAATTCTGAATATAAAGCAACAGTATGACATTAATGGTAAGTTTTGCTACAATTCTTTTTGTTGAATGGTACAGATGTGTTTTTAAGCTTATAATTTTAAATGAATCTGAGAAAAAAATAGTAAGAGTGCACATTGAGATTGTGACATTGCATGCCACAAACTCAGTATTAATTTTATTTACAAAGCACCAACATTAGCATATTTCCACTTCTGGAGCGAACATTACTGAGTTGGTGCAAATTAATTCGGAGGTATTTCATTTATCTTTTAGTGACATTATAAATTTATGGTATTTTAGGAAGAGGTCCACAGACAACAGCAACAAAACACAATAAATTCAAAAAGTCAATAAATTCAAATTGCCTTTTACACCGACCATTTGCTACTGTTGGCCCTGACAAACAACACTGTTAAAATCTTGATACCATCATCTGCTCACACAAACATATTCACTGGGAACTTGACTGACTGCTGCGTGGGAACATGTATGATAATGCTTTGCATATCAGTCCTTTTCACTCTTTGGCTGATAATGACCCCTTTCAAATGCTGTACAGTTAATGTACTTACACAGCGGAGCAGTGATAGGCACGGCAGGGGGCTTAATATTTCACTGTGATGTTGCCCCAGACTGACAGCAGTGGAATGTGCTTAGAGTGGTGTTAATAATGGAAAAATGTATGAAGATGCAGGGGCTCCTACAAGCACCAGCCTCTGTTGACACTGGACAGACATCAAAGATGCAGTAATGGAATTAAATTCCCGTTTTGTGTTTTGCCATTTTTGCATTACCCCTAGTACTTTCATCCCATTCACCCAGATATCAATTTGTATTGAGCTGAACTTGAAGCATATAAAATGAATGAGGCTGGGCTGGGCTGGAGGTAGCAGCATTTGTTACAATCCATTGGAATTCATGTCTACTCCTCCTCCCACGTTCCCTCTCTTCCCCTTCTTTGATGCTGTCTAGGTTAGGCCTGTGAAATGTAGTGCTGGGTAATAACTCCATTGCGCTGATTATTAGCCTTCACAATAGAGGCAAGCCTCCTCTGTCTGAGCATAGTCCTGTAGTGGAAGGCTGGTGTAACTTAATGTGGCATGAAAATAGCTCCTCAATTTTCCTACGCACAGCCTTTCTAGAAACTGCCCTGTAACACCCAGCAGATGCCTCCGGCCTTCACTGTTTCACTCCTCGTCTCCTAGCATTCTTTCCTTATATTTCCTTCCTTATAGCATCCCTGGTCATTCGCTCATGACACACCTCAGGATCACAGGTGTGTGTCTACACATGAGCCAGGGAGGATGTAATGGAAGATTTGGTGGAGGAGAGCAGGTTAAATGAGATGAGGAAAAAGAGAAGGAGACAGTTATAGTGGGGAGCAGGTGGAGGGTCTGCGATTTATACCGTGAAGATTTAAGTGTGAAATCAATTTGTGTTTAAGGAGAAGTGTGGGTACACAGTGCCACTGTGTGCCAAGGATAAACCTTTGAGAAATCACCGTTCTCATCCGTAAGGGACGGATAAGCCAGGGTGGAACTTGAAAGAAGCACAAGGTCCTACCAGTCGACATTGGACAGGAAATAATGGACAACAATGTGAGTCGTTGCAGCACCTGCAGGTGTTGAAAAACTTGAAAACTTCAGACCTGTGAAATATAAGAAATATGTTTGAAAATAACTCTAATGTTCCACTGAGCAGTCTGTCAAATGTGTCTGACAGCTCAGAACTAAAGTTCACATGCTGTAAGTGCTCAGCTTTTTTTTCTTTAAAGGTATGAACATGTCACAAGGTAAAATGGTTCTGTGGTTTATATATACCCTGACACCTTCTGGCATGCCAACTGAATACAACGACCACACCACTGAATCCAAATAGAAGAAGAGTCAAATACCCGGAAACATGTTAATACAGCAGATTAAACAGTGGTTAAATCTACTGTTCAAAAGGGAACATTTATTTTGGAGTGACGTACCTTTATATCTGCTACTTTCCACAGACTGTATGGAAGGCTATCTGTAAAGCTCTGTAGACTTAAAGTGAACTGGAGACACAGAGAATGTTTTTACAAGTAACCATTTTCACCAAAAGCAAAATAAAAGATTGTTATTTTGAACATATTTTCGTAGCTTTTATAGCAAAACTGGTTCAGCACTAGCTTTTCTATGGGCAGAAATCTGTGCCATCAGAAACTGAATTTGAATAAGTTAAATTTGAATTTGAATTGCTCAGATTGAATCTGAATTGTAACTTGAATAAATGCTTTTACAAACTGAATATGAATTAGCCTAATTTGAAATTCAATTTATTGGTTTGAAAATGATCATCACTAAATTGAAATTGAATTTTATATTTTGAAAATGAATTCATTTGCTTTGAAACTGTATTTTATCGTTTAAAAATTTAGCTCTTGAATAATTTCAGATTCACTTCTCACCATTCAGTTTCAGTTCTACAATTCAGTTTTTTGGGACTTACATCCGGTTCCGGTTCAAGAGTAGTCGAGCGCAGATTAATAGAACTACGTTTTACTAGCGGACGAAAGTGTTACTGACGGGAATCTACAGC